AAAATGGCTAGTCTCTTAAAGAATTACGATTTACCTCGTTGGGTGTAAGTTGCGTCACAGTATTCACACTTGTAAGGTCGTAGGCCTTCGTGCACGGACTGCACGTGAACGGCCAACACACGACTGTTGACATACACTTTGTTACAAACTTCACAAGACACAGGTTTGTTGGTTTCAGAATGGCGCTCCCTTGGAACCTTCTCGTGCACACTCCTAATGTGACGGTTCAAATGCGTTTTCTGAGTGAATTTCCAAGAGCATTTGTCACACTCAAATGGCCTCTCCCCGGTGTGGCTTCGCTGGTGGCTCTGGAGGAAAACAAAACATCGGTATGCATATCCTCCATACTGTTCTCTATATATTTTCCTTGTCACTGACAAGGAGAATTCATTTTACCATCAGAGATTCTTAAGTTGGCGATCATTTCCTTAATTCGTATGATCTTACTGAATGATTCAGTTATATTACTGTAAGGAGAAATTAGATGCTGATCAATCGTAGGGTTTAAAGGGTTGAGAGAGATTTAACTCCCCACATTCCCCTCCCCCGAACAAATCTTGACGGGGGAAGGGGAAATACAATGTACTGTACACGTAAAGAATGCAGTGTTTTCCCATACTTTTGCTAATTTCTAAGAACTTTGGCCTCGATTGAAGCGTACTGTACCAAACATTTAGATTAACTTTATTCATTTTATTAGATGGAAAGGAAAATGCCAACATGTACAGACGTATGTAACTGAGGAACTACGCACCCACCCCTCCCCTAACCCGACAACAGTCAACTGATACAAGTTAGGGCTAATGTTGAGTTGAGGGAGGGGTGGGTGCATGTATATAATAAAAAGACAAACCTCTAAGCCGTGCATTGAGTCGAACTTTTTACCACATTCTAAACAGCCATATTTCTTTTCCCGTTGTTTGTCCTTGGCTGGGACATAGCCAGGTAGATGCTTTTTACGATGTTTGTTCAAGTTACTTTTGGAGGAAAACTGTTTGCCGCACTCAATGCATTTCAACCCGCTGTTTTCATCGTGGGTCGTGAGATGTTCCTTGAGGTACATTTTATTGTAGGTCTTGTGACAAATGGGACACTCCTCTGACGACTCATCCGGCCTGTGCTTGGAACGGACATGGTACTGTTTCTCTTTGACAGTTTGAAACTGCATATCGCAACTCGCACACCTGAAATGAACAATTTTAAAATTGATTCAACACAAGTGTGCAAGCTTTCCTTTGAAAATTTAGATCTACGCGAAAATCCCTATTCACCTGTGTGGTGTAAAGTGTACTCTCATGAGCAATAAAACACATTTTTCGGACTCTATAACGTGATAAAGCCCCGAGGGATGCTGGGAGAACACGAGAAAAGCTTGTAAATTTATTCGCCCCCAAACTCGTGACTCCAGTTTCCCGCGTAGTTTCATCACGTTACAAAGCCCTGAAAAATGTTCCCCATTGTTTAAATAGAGCATAGGCTTGCAAACTGGATTGAACAATCAGATGATGCCAACTATGTGTATGCTACGTTATAACACCAGTTAACTAACCCTTAAATACCCAAGATCCAATAGGTGAATTTTCCCCATACAGTGCCATATATTTCCTTGTAAATCAAACAGGAGAATTTGGTGTCGTGTCAAGGTAACACCTTCCAACTGATAAACTTGTCCGTTCTGATAAGCTGTTGGCAAGATAACCTATGAGAATCGAAAGGAGAAATTCAATGCTAAATCTTTGACTCACTTTGGCACGTGAACCTCTGGCGGATTATCCACGTGATCCTTCAGTTGTCTCCAGTTCTCAAACTCTTCATTGCAGACGTTGCACCTGCGTAAGAGCATTCAATGTGCTATCATTACAACTAGAAAAAAAAAAACTGTGAACTTGTCGATAGTTCTATATCTTTTTGTTTTTGTTTGTTTTTTCATTATTCTTTATTTCCTATTTCGTCAAATGTTTAAGAAAATTCAGAGTGCTTACGAACCTGTAATATAGTACAGAGTGCCTGAAATGTTACCAGTGATTCATATATTTATGAATCAAAAGTGATCAGTGCGAGGTAAAAATGAATCATAAACATGGCAGCTTGAAAAATCCTGGCTGCGACACTGATACGGTAAGTTTTCACTTAACCTCACCTGAAATGCACAACAAGTTGATAACTAGTGGCGAACGTTTTTTCGCATTTGTCGCACCGATGGCCCTTATTTGGGATTTCCTGCTCCCCATGCCTCCTCCTGGTGTGTTTGGCGAGGTTTGGGAACGAGACAAATGTAGCCCCACACTCACTGCACATGCACACTTTGTCCGTGGTGTGTGTTTTCACGTGTTCGATCAGCTCTGGCTGAGTGTCAAATGACAACATGCACCCATCAAACTGACAGACAAACTTGTCAGTGGCGTACTTTATTTGAACTTCGTCCTTCTCGTAATGACTTGCGTGCTTGTGTCTCCACAGATGACCTAAGGTGATAGTCAATCCGATTTAGTTCGGAAACACAGGACAACTTAAGCGTTAGTCGAGATCATCTCACGGATCATACTCAAAGTTAAGAGAATTGCAGCGCTTTTCGACCGATTGCCACTTATCCAAAGTCTCCCCCTAAGGTTTTGCAGTATAATAAAGAAATCCCTTTCACTAGCAGTTTTATAAAATTTAGTCCCCTCCCCCCCTTGATACTCCGTTAACGACGACTGATCCCGCTTCGTTAAAACCCATGTGGTCCTCTCAAAAAAAGACCTCCAGA